AGTAGAACGGTTATCATCGTACAGCTCCCCCCAGCCTGTACCGTGGGAGTTAAAATCTCCCATGATCAACCATGGAGCGGGAAGTACCGCACATATGTCGAAAAGTTGTTTGCGATTAACAGAGACTCTAGGAGCAATATATACAGAAGCAATACAAAGGCTCTTACCTTTAATGGTAGCCTGACATGCGACAACTTCAATACCGGGGAATTCGGGAAGATTCACTCTATAGAAGGAATGGCACTTTTTGATCCCCAAAAGTACCCCTCCTCCACGTGAATCCTCACGATCCAATCGAATAATGTTAAAATCAAAAAAAGGGAGATCAATTTCTGAAGAGAGCCATGTTTCACAGAGGGCAAATGCATCGCAATTATTGTTATGGACTAAATACTTGAACGAATCTAATTTCGGAATAAGACTTCGACAATTCCACTGTAGAACAGTGATCAAATCCCCGACCTCGTTTGGAAAATTATCCATCGAAGGAGATGATAGCTGCAAGAAGGGGCCATTTTGAAGTCAATTGCTTCAAGAAGGATTTCACAGTCGGAAGCAATGTGAGGACAATGCTTTTCAGAGGATCAGAAATGTTGAGGTATTTGAGAATACCGTCCACAATGTCATTAAATGAGAACAGCCCAGATGAAGAAGGGGTTTCTGTTCTTAAAATTGGGGCATCAGGGGTTTTGGATGTCCCCGGAAGAGGTGGAAAATCCTGGGTATAATCAGTTCTGCGGAATCCAGGAGGAGTAGAAGTCTCCTTTTTTCCACCACTCCTTGATTTGGGCAAGCTGATTTGGGGTTCTTGATCTGCAACTTTCCGCGAACGGATGCGTTTTCGTTTCCGGGCAGAACCTTCCGGAAAACTGAAAGAAACTCCCTCCTCAGCCAAGTCAGAGCCAGACTCGTCATCTGACAAAAGAGCGAAGGGATTTGTTTCGTTGGTCGATGGCTTGGCTGTCTTAAGCATTTCTGCAAAAGACCGCCTGGAACGTTCCTTAAGGGAGCGTTTCATTTTGTCCCCGAGCTGTTTGTACGCCGGGCACGACGAGAGAGCATGAGGAGGAGTTCCATTGCAGTACACGCATTTTGGTGCAGTAGCTGCGCAGGCGCCATCCTCATGCTTCTCCCCGCATGTGGAGCAGCGTGCCTTGTTGCCGCAGTGGGAGGCCGTATGTCCCAACCGCTTACAATTCTGGCAGTTCATGACCCGAGGTACAAACAACCGCACAGGAAGACGAAGTTTTCCCAGCTCGATGTATTGAGGAAGGGCAGATCCAGAAAAGGTCACCCGAAACGAGTCTGTGGGGGTAAAACTCTTTTTACCCTCGCTGAGCGATACTGACTTCATTCTATGAACGGCCAGTATCTTTACCGGAGGAAGCAAGGGGTTCTTAAATCGGCCAACCGCTTGCTTCTCCAGTATCTCGGGGTTCAGGCTCGCCTCAGTGACCACGCCTTCGATCTCCACATCAGAGGCTGGAATGTACACCCTATATTCCAGTGTGAAAAACTGGGAAACAGCAATTTCATTGGCCTGTTTCAGGTTAGCGACGGTCACACGAAGTTTGTTGTGCCTAACCTTCGTTATTTCGGTCACGGCAGAGAATCGCTTTGTCAGATCATCAGATATCTGGACAACATTCAAGGGTTTGTTTTTGGGCTGAAAATAGACAACCCATGGGCCAGTCGAGTCATTCGGGTAGGCCCGCAATCTGGTGCTTTTCTCAGCCTGCCCATCAACAGACTGAGACGTCGAACCAGGGATGACATCATCATTCTTCTGAGATGAATGGTCATCCATGTCGTCTTCTGACAAAACATCCATTTTGTTCAACTAGTGGGAGCGCAAAACGCTCTCCCACTGAACGCACAGACACAATACACAGAAAACACTACAAACACAGAAATACAAAATGAAAATTTAACTATTGGGGGAGTAAAAGAAACAAGAAAAAAACAAAAACTTATCTGATAATCCTATACTACTACCACCGAGCGTTATATGTGTAGGCGTTTACACAGATGGCTGGAAGAGACGCGCTGCGTGGATGACCTTCGTTGTGGTGCACTTGATCGAGGCTCGGTACTCAGCGCACACAGGCGCACGATGATTGATGAACGATGTAGATGTAGAAACGGGTGCTCACACTCGATGATGATGATACGTGCGCGGGTATGCGTAAGCGCGTATGCGTGACCACGCAACGATGATGCCCAAATTGGTTCGCGAATTACCAATAGCACGGATTAATCGTTCCGAAAATGACACTTTCTACTACAAAAAAACTCACTTTTCGATCAATTTACCGGGAACTATGCCAGGAGTCACTTAGTGAGAAAAAACTGATAATTTATATCAAGCGAATACCGAGAAAACTTCCAAAACAACGGAGCGCGAAACAAGTCGACCGTACTTCTTGCTAGGACGCAGTGAGGATGCTCTTTTATTTTTGTTTTCAATCGCTTAAGCTCTGAATTCGACAAGGCAGGTTTAACAGGTTCGTGACTGATTCTCTTAGGTACGAATTGATCGATTGCGTACAAAAGAATGTTGGATGTCGTCGATGCCGCGAGGTTAGAATCACAGTCACGCAGTGCCTGTTCCCAGTCGACAGTTGAGAGAAAATCATTCGCTATAAAGGACGCTCTCTACAGTGTCTTTGAAATCACGATGAACGTTGAGCTTTATGCTCACCAGCAGAGGAGGATGATGTCTACAGTTTTTAACAAGTACAGTTCATAGAGTATTCATAATTGGAATGGACCGTAAACATTTGTAACGTGCCAGTGCGGTGTTACTCCCAGCACTGATGAGACCCCCGTCTCCAAGCCTCAGGGTCGGCACATGCTCGTGATTATTCCGCGAATTAAGAAAACACTCAAAGTTCACTTAAGATAAACTCCCACTTTATTCGTTTTGACGACACTCACTTCACGGACGGTCTCCCACTTCCTTAGGTTTCTACTCCTACCTTGTGCTAGCACTACTCTTCTTTGTCTTCGGGGCCCCTTCACCTGCCACTGCCGTCGTCGTTCCTCTCCTTCCTCTGGTACCGCATCACCTTCTTGGGCCAGGGGTGGACGCCTCTACCTGTCCCGTGCGCCCCTCGAGTATGGTGACGGACTCGAGGTTTCAACGAACCACAAGGGTAAGTTGACTTGCCTGGATTGGTTGCGCACACTGTAGCTGAGGGATCAGATTCTGGAACTGCAATTCGGACACACTATCGGCGATTGGCGTGGTCGTCTCCGGAAAATTCGTTGAGTTCACTGGCGTTACGGTAAAACCGCGAGGTCCTGTGGGCGCGAAGGAGAATTCGAAATGGCGGTTATCGACCTGACAACGGTTGGATTGGTTCGGGGTTTTCTTGGCGATGGTAATTACCTGGCTGTCCAATGGTATGTGGCAGCTTCCTCTACAACTTCTTCAACTTCAACTTCCAACTTAGCTCACTTTAGCACTTAGTTTTCACCTTCAAACTACCCAAGTAACACCAATTCATATCATTATGTTGAGTAAACTTCTTTACAACCAAATCCAGTCATATAAAGGTTATATAAACTGATATAGAACATGTGTGTTGCTAGGGTATTAACGCTATCAAACGCTATGTGACCGTAGTCTATAATGATCACCAGGCTTCTGACTGTGCCTCTTGGTGGACGATGACCCCGAACCGTGACCGTTGAACCGTCGTACGTGCCACGAATTCTCCACGCAATGGCCCGATTACGCCACCCCTATGGACGTCCATTCATGGCTACCCACAGCGTGCTCTGGTGGTGGCTAGTGGCATTGTTCTACAGTTTATAGGATAGTGTCTCCTACTGGCTGCGTTCGTGAGGATTCTGGGACGTTTTACCTTTTACGAACATTTAAACATTTTCTTAGAATTTAATAACTAAATATATGAAAACTACACGCGATTAATCTCACCAATCTTGGACGCAACGCTTACACTTGTTACACATTCAACAAATAACCCTCCCCCCTCCACTTTCCTGTCCACCTCTCCGCACTGTCTATGTTCTTTAGGATCCTTTTTATTCAAATAACGTAAAGTAACATTGATTTGCAATTTAAATTCACTGTAACACTGATTAAAGCTATTTAGACAAATTTACACAATTGTGAAGCTCCATTCTCAAATGAGTAAATAAATAATTAAATAGGGGACGCAACTACCCAATTGTTTGCGTCAGCTACATACCCAGACATTGATGTGTGTGGATAGAAAACGTTATTTTTAGTAGGTTTTGCTCTGGAAAAATCAATGTTACGAGTCAAAAATCCAGATACACGCAAATATTTGATCCTTCCCGAAAGGAATAGAATTATCCACCCAAGCATGTATTAAATGTCCTCTCCATGGAGGTAAATTAAATTTAGGAAATAAAATCAAAAACAACCAACAACGTGAACCAATTTAAAACAGACAGTGAATAAAATTTTCGACAGCAGGGTGTAGCAGCAGCGCATAGAAATAATCACCACCGAAGAAAATGTTTACTCTCGCTACTTGTTTACGGCTGCAGGAGCTTGTTCAGCAGCGTCAGATACATTCAGCCTTTTTTATTCCAGGAGAAAAGTCCCAGACGAGACACCTATTTCTGCTAATCATGTAGACAAACATAATAAATTGCATTATCACGTTGCTGGTTTCTCCGGTTTCAGTGTTGTTTTTTTATTCTCCAGGTCGGTATTTTATGCGCATTTTGCCGAGATGATATTTTCCTCGGGGAGGGTTGTTTGAGTTTCATCATGTTCAGTTTAAGGGTGCATCATAGTTAACGTTTTTTGATCATGACTCTATGCATTGGTATGTGGTTCGAATCTTCATTTCAAACCATCTGCTAAAGCAAATCAGAATTCAATTGCCTTCAATCGAAATACAATTAAGGATCAGAAGTAATAACAGTGTAGTACTCCAGCAAACGACATTGAAGAGCCGATATCCAATCAAACGTAATGAAAATCCCCATCTCATACGTACCTTTCATAATTATTCTACTGGATAAGCGCCTGAATAGAACTGAACGTTGAAATTAGAAATGTTCAAACTGGAGGCATTCCTTCCTCCTCCTCCTCCTCCTCCGTCCGACTCAAGTACGCAATTTTACTGAATCAGGGGCGCATTCTGCGACTCGCCAAAGTCCACGGTGTAGTACATGTCGTTTTCCAAATTCATCTGCAGCGTTGGTTTGTTGATTATCCGCTCCGGCTGTAGGCTGTACGAGTTCGGATGCTGGTGGGCATAGCTGTAGTTCAGGTTGTTGTGGCCAGTGGTGGCTTGTTGACCTTTGCCGCTCAGCCAGTGCCGGTTGGTGGAGGACGCTTTTGTTTTGCGGCCAAAGATCGGTATTAGTTGGCGGTGCTTGGTGGCGAAATAGCGATAGCTCTGATGCACCTTGCAGTGGCATGCGGTTACCTGGTTGGTGAAAGAGAGAGAGAGAGAAAAAGCGGATAACATGAAATCAAATAAATTGCGGTATTCTTGGGCTAACGGATGGTCACTGGTTCACGGTTGATTTCTCACGTTCCAAGCCAAACACAACAGAGTCCGGGATCAAACGATTTTATTGCAATATTGGGTTTGAATATTATGTGTTTTGGGGCGAGTGAGTTGATGGGGTAGCTGGACTAGTGAAACGTGTCCTACCAGACCACAACAATGATTTATTATGACATACTCCATTCAATATCCCATGCAATTAAAAGTTAAACAATGAATCCTGCAAACAGTTGATGATGAATATTGGCCCACCCTGGAGAAGGTTCTGAAAGGTATATTTTCGAAGCTCGTCCAGATTGATTTACTGCAAAATTTTTGTATGATAAACGCATTGAGAACCATTTTAAAACCGTATTTAAGCTACTATAAGAGCTATTCAGCTACAATTAAAACGATTATCCGAGCCATTTACTGTAGCAGCTTGCTAAGTCCACTAGAAAAACAACAATCAAGATAAAAAAGGATTCATAAATACCATCCGATCTTATCAAAATAATTAAAATAATTACTTACTGTAAAAAAATCCTGTCGCATTTCCAAAATTATAAAATAGTTCTCATGAAGTGACGTAGTTTTAGTTGCCATATAAAATTTGATGTAAAATGTGCGTGAAAACATCGAAAAACTTGAGTCCACCCACGGAAAACATTGATTTTACTAATTATTTTACATGAAGAAAAAAAAAAATCTTAAAGCTGAGCCGAGATTTCTGCATTCTTAATATTTTCTCATTGCTAAATTCACTAAAATAAAGTTATATCAAATGTATACTTCATTTCCATAGCGAAGGGCCATTAATGCTCATTTTCAACTTCTATTCAATTTTCATACTGCCGTACTCTAACGGAACTATCCACCTACCCTCTTCTAAAGATCATTCTCTAGCTAATAAATCATCACACTAAAGCTTCATGTTAGCATTTCCAACCAACTCTGAAAATCGTTAACTTCGCGTATGAAGTAACATAAAAACACTTTGAATGTAACTATTATTGTTTACTAGCTGAGTGTGCCCGGCCTTGCTCGGAATTCGATATTATCTTGTGTTTATGTGCCAATTAAAAAAGAAACTTGCTATATTGTACGTAGCCCCTCCCCCTCTTATCTAAGAGGCTACCACCTATGACCTCCACATGCCAAATTTGGTTCCATTTGCTTGATTAGTTCTGCTTGATTAGTTAGTTTCATTTGTATGGAAGCCCCCCTTTACAGAGAGGGGAGGGGTCTCGAACCATCATAAGAACCTTTTCCTGCCCCAAAAACCTCTGCATACAAATTTTCACGCCGATCAGGGTCAGACAGACAGACAGACAGAAATTCATTTATATATAGATAGATAGGAGAAATGCAGGTAATGTCGGCCTGAGTGTTCCTAATTTGGGCCCATACATAAATTCAGTAATCGACTAAATTTTCAATAGCAACCAAAAATATCCATTAGTAACGTCCCAATAATCTAGATAACATTGATAAATAGCGATGGGCCCAATCTTAGATCCATAGACCAACATTAGATACATTTCCCCTATAAAGATTTGTTTTGTTTAACACATTTTAGATCATTCCTTACTTGCTCGGGGTGAGATTTGAGCTCAATTCTTTCAGCGTGAGAAGCATGAATGCTAACAATTTACGCCAGGTCCGTATTCAGTTAAACATTATGAATGCAAAATCAGAAATCAAATTGATGTCATTGCAAGCAAGATTAGTTTTCCGTTTGATTCAACAGTGTTAAAGTTTGCTCTCATTTTTGCTGTGTTAACCGTTAAGTCAACCAAAATGAGATCAAATGGAGTATTTAAAATAAGTTACATCATCAGCTTTGCTCGGGCAGCGTTCTTCCAGTCGATTCTCTCCCGATGGCTTGGAAGCATTTACTCAGAAAGTGTGCGATACTGTTTTATAACATTTCGCATTTCGCACAGCTGCAACCTCAATCATTCCCGAAAAAATCCCCTTCTTCCGGATGGTTCTGGAAGTGCACCATCAAACGATGCAGGAATGTACGGTTGAATGAAATTTTTCGAAGAGATGACCCTTTTTTCGAATAAAATCGCTGCTATGGATCGGACACCAACTAGTGTCCGCTAAATGACAGTTTCAGTGGTTTGCTGTCGGTACAGACGCAAGTTATTCCGATCGTCATCTAGGTTGGTCTGTTTTCAGACTGTTTTGACAATGTTTTAAGAATTTGAAGATCACGCTCACTTCTCTCTTCTCCACCAGATGCTCAGTCGTTGATGGTACCCGTTTAGCCGAACTAAAGCTAAAGAACTTAACTTTACTAAATCGACTTCCCATCGCTTGAATTTGTCATCCTACTTCGTTTATCCTTCAAGATATCCTTGTCATAAATGTGGCTTTTATCGGCGCCAGTGGTGTAGTGGTAAGCGTGATTACTTCTCACCCCAGCAGGCCTGGGCTCAATCCCAGTCCGCGCCGCCGGGATGTTCTGACTCATAACATCTCTGATCACGCCTTCCTTCGGAAGGGAAGTAAAGCCGTTGGTCCTCGGTTCATGAGTTGATGGGTCGATAGATAGGGTCCAGGTGTGGGAGTTGCCTTCCTGGCGTCGGTAGCATTGATGCTCAGCACGGAAAATAAGATCGACGGAAAAACAAATCAAGGAAAAAAATAAATTTGGCTTTAATTCACTATGAGGATCTTTCTTTAAAGTTCAATTTGTAAACATAGGAGATTTTATGATACCTAATGGTTTTATGGTTGCATTTTTAATGATAGAACACGTTTATAGAGTATTTGATCAAGACATTAATAAAAAATAGCTAATGAAGTTTGTGATTGATTTATAGAACAGTTTTGTGGTGGGATGGAGAGCTACTTTAAATTTAATTTTAAAACAAGAATGTTTCTTAAGTTTTCTCGCCAGACTGTAAAAGGATTTTGTTGCAGAAAAAAGGTGAACTACTAAGCAGGAATGTTTTACACTGTCAAATACTGTATTTAAACTAAATGGATTGTTCATTAACATTATAAAACCAACATAAATCAGAGTGACTGCCAAATGATTGCAGAATTGTTACTTGGGCACGGTAGTTCTGAGTAGAATTCCAAGTAATTCTGAGTAGAATCCCAAGTAATTCCTACGGAATTTTGAAGAGGACTCCAAGGAAAATTTAAAGAAGAAATCTAAAGCAAATCTGATAGTTTCAAAAACTTTCAGGTAGCAGAAATTGATCGCTCTTTTGAGACTTTTTCTTTGCTTTTTAATATGGAATAATTGCGTTAAATCCAATTAGTGCTATTAATTAATTAACTTATCAAAATTCAAAATTTCCTCACCGCAGAGCCACACACTGAAGGTGCACTTGAGAGCGCTCTCGGGAGCACTTATAATGATATAACAGAGTGTGGCTCTACTGTGCATAAATTTTGCATTTTTAATGGAAGATTAATAGCATTAAACTATCTTTTTAACGATGGGTTAACTGAAAATTTACCTGGATTTTACGTTAGCATTCTATAATAAAAAGTAATGAAAAATCTTTAAAAGAACGATTCATCATTAAAGGTAGAAAAAGAATCAGAATCCGAAATTCCATAAACTTTTTTGGAGAATTCTTCGGGAGTATGCTACAAAAGAATTTGGAAAATAATTCCAGGAGAGTTCCGACTAGGATTCCAAAATTTTTTAAATGAGAAATGTATAGAATTTGTTACTTAACTGCAAGCGTATTATCAGAAAACTTTCAAAGTAAGTAGATTGCCAAGGAAAGGAATAAAATTAATGTGGCATTCCAACAAAGATTTTTTTTCTTGATAGTAGAAGAAAAAAAAAAAAGAAACGTGATCCATGATCATGGATTTGGAATTTTTTTATATTTTAATAAATTTTTAGATTTCATGTTCAGAAATTTTTTTGATCCTGGATTAAGAAAGAAACTCAGATGGTTTTGTTTTAAAATATTCCGGACATGGAGAAATTTTCAAGATTCGGAACGTCCATATAGTAAAACAAAATATATAATGGCCGGACACCTTCAGGGCGATAGTGCTACATCCAGAAATGACGAAAACCTTCGATATCTAGACAAATTAAATGTCAAGAATTGGCAGCCCGATTGCGTGTTTTGCGTATATTCCCAAGCAAAAATTTTTGGTTTATTGAAGTTTTATAGCAGTTGATATAACCAAATTATAAAACCTTCACTCACGACCACATTGCTTTGCAACCTCCTGACAACCGCTATACAGCCATGTCATGGCCAATCGGCCCAGTTTCAATGCAATCATTAAAACTTGATGTGCGAACTACCTTAGGAGCATAGGTTTTATGTCAGTTTTATGACACTCTACACGTGGTTGTTTAAAATTTAAACATAAAGCCTCCTCCTGGTCAGAAAGTTTTAAAAACCTTTAGATGACTACCATAAAACTATATTACCACCGAATAAATCGCTCCTGAAGGAGTTGATAAAACATGATACGCAAAACATTTTGACAACCTTGAAGGTTTTAAGTTGGGGTTTTTGGGTGATAGTTAATATTGAGAAATATTTTATTGTGGTTTTATTCTTTCGATGTTTGATGTGAAATCATGATCCTTGTCAGTAGGTAATAATAGCTGATACTATTGTATATTGAAAATAAGACGCCTTCATTACAATTTTTAACCAATCTGTATATGCTTCTCAGCATGCCGTGCAATATTTATGGTGATTATTATACCAAATAGGAGTATAAATTCAGTGCGCCATATGAATACTAAAATATAGGGATATTTTAAGTTTGTCTGCATTAGTACCATGCATTAAAGACTCATTAAAATATTATCTATTTAGTACAAAACTGTTACTACTGTTGAGCAGTGGGGTCTCAGTTAGGCAAGTTAGTAAAGGCGTGGTATTGTTCATAAGCTTTTGAATGCAAAATATTCGAAAAATATTGAGGTGGGT